ACTTTGTCCCGCCCCCAAAAAAATAAATAAATAAAAATAATTTATGAATTGACATTCAATAATAAGTCATTTATTCACCAGTATTTTGGTGTATCACCTTTGACTGACCTGTTGATTGGAATCCCATACTATCTTTCTTACATAAACTATACTGACAGTTAATTGTCATTTCCAGTGTTCTCTTTTTTTTCTTTTAGATACAGCTAAACCTTGGCACTTGCAAAGAAATCTGAGCATGCTACATCTATTAGTAGACTTTTATGTCATTTTCCTGATGTCATATGATAGCATATTATACATATTACATAAGTATATATATATAATTCAATTGTGGGTTTTTTGGTTTTTTTTTAGAGACAGAGTCGCATTCCATCGCCCTTAGCAGAGTGCTGTGGTGTCACAGCTCACAGCAACGTCCAGCTCTTGGGCTCAGGCGATTCTCTTGCCTCAGCCTCCCAAGTAGCTGGGACTACAGGCACTAGCCACAACGCCCAGCTATTTTTTGTTGTAGTCTGGCCGAGTTAGAACCCACCACCCTCAGTATATGGGGCCAGCGCCCTACTCACTGAGCCACAGGCACTGTCCCAATTGTGGGTTTTATTTTAATTTTTATCCATTTACCTTTTAATCATTTCAAAGGATTTAGCTTGGTTTTCATTAAAATAACCACTTTAGTTTTCCATTCAGAGCCCATTAGTTTATGTAATGTTTAATTTATTTATATAATTATATACCGTTGGCATAAGCAAGTTTGAGACAAATACAGCTGACTCTTGGCAAGGGTTTAATGCAGCTGGTGGGTGCTACATATGCCAGCAGAGTGGAGATTATTAACCCACTGGCCCTCACTCAGCTGGTACATTTTACATAGGGAAGAAAGAGCTTGAGTTAATCCATAAAGTCAGATGACAAGAGTTTCTGTGGTTGTCAGAAAATGGACTTTTAAAGATTGTAGCTCTGGATAGTGACCACAAGATCAGGAGGTAGTGCCTGAGTTCTGTACCTCTGGATAGTGACCACAAGATCAGGAGGTAGTGCCTGAGTTCTTGGTCTCTTCTTCCTTTATCTATCCTTTGTTCTTTCCATTTCTTTCTATTCCCACTGCCAAGGCAACTCAAAATCATTACTTTCTCCCCCAGTTTTTCCTGTCAGTGCCTCTGCTCGGTAAAGAGTGGTGTTCTCATCTTCCTTTAGGTATAAGGCAGGGAAATGTTTGTTAAATAATAAAGAGAGGGCCCTGTTTTACTTAAGCCAACCAGGATGAAACTATAGCAGGAGTTGTAATTACAGGCTTTATTGGAATTAAAGGGTAGGTGGTAGCAGTATTTGCTGTATGGGTAGGCTAGTGTTTCCTGGACCTCCCCACCATCCCTCAGCTACAGAATGGTGTGGTGATACCACCCTGGAGGCGTTTCCTGGGTGGTTGGCCAAGGTAATTTTTTTTTCATGTGTTTCAGAATATTCCTAGTTTTTGGTTTTCTTGCTACTTCATACATGGATTGGAAGAAAGAATTATTAAGAAGCACTTCCTGAATCTTATCCTAATCTTCCTGTGCTTATTTGTTAGTGCTGATTTTCTTCATACTCTCAGATTTTAATTCAAAATATGTATTTTTTCTTGAATTTGTCATTTTCTTTTTCTGTTTGCAGATTGGTAGGGTTTTTGTTGTTTGTTTGTTCTTTTTATTTTTTGAGACAGAGTCTCACCTTGTCGCCCTCTGTAGAGTGCCTCGGCATCACATCTCACAGCAACCTCAAACTCTTGGGCTCAATCCATTCTCTTGTCTCAGCCTCCCAAGTAGCTGGGACTACAGACACCCAACATAATATGCCTGGCTATTTTTAGAGACAGGGTCTTGCTCTTGCTCAGGCAATCCACCTGCCTTGCCCTCCCAAAGTGCTGTTACAGATGTGAGCCACTGCTCCCAGCCACAGATTGTTTTGTTAATAGGTGTGGGGAGTTTCCCAAAAACAAAATGAATTGTGAGTGGTTTTTTCTCAAAATAAGAATGTAAAGGCAATAGAAAGGTTTACTAGATCTGTTTTTATTTTACATTTTATTGTTTGCTTTTTTCATTTTTCTTATCAACTTTGGTATACATATTACACACACACATATATATACATACAAACACATATATATCAAAGAAGATATTATTTGATAAATTTTTCCCTTAAAAATTTACTATAGAAATGACCAGCCATATTAGCGTAAGACTCTCTTTCTAAAGAGAAAATTATCCTTTTATCAGAAGTTTATAATTAATAAATATGCTGTCAAGTTTTTAATTTAATTTTTTTTTAATTTTTGAGACAGTCTCACTATGTAGAGAGAGTGCTATGGCATCATAGCAACCTCAAACTCTTGGACTTAAGTGATTCTCTTGCCTCAGACTCCCAAGTAGCTGGGACTATAGGTGCCTGCCACAATGCCTGGTTAATTTTTTGTTGCAGATGTCATTGTTGTTTAGCAGGGCCGGGTTTAAACCTGCTAGTCTCTGTCCATGTGGCCGATGCCCTAACCACTTAGCTACAGGTGCTGAGCCTCAAGTTTTTATTTTAATGTATGATCTGAAAATATAAAATATTTTGTAGAAGGAGTTAGGGTTTTTTAAAAGGATAACTGAAGTTGGCTGTTTAGGAAATTGTACAAAATTTAGATTAAAGAAGAACCAAATGTTTATGTTAAGTAAAAAACAAGTTTTACAGTGCTATTTTTTTGCCAATATAAAATTTTGGGAAGGTTTTACAAAACACTTTTGGCTGCCTGTGAAGTAGTTAGGGAAAGGGGGTTTCATTTTCTTTTTATGCCCTTATGAACTTTGGACCTTTTTCTTACTCTCATAAGCAAATACTAATTTTATTTTTTAAACCTATTTAAAAGAAAACATGTTAGATGGGATTCTGTTTTTCATTTTAGATATAATGACATAGGAAAACTGTACCTTTATTAAATATAGCTAATATTCAAGTTTCTGTAGCAAAATTTGCTGCCTTGAGATGTTGGTATTGTTGCCGCCTCTATCCCTTTCTTCCTCCCCTCCTTTCTCTCTTTAAGTTGCCTTCCTATTTCAGTACCTACAACATATGTAGCCTCCTTGGGCCTCGGAAACAAGCCTCCCCTCGTCTTTATTTTACCCCAGAAGCAACAGGCGTGTTTGTCCCCAGAAGTTAGTAAGAACCAGGAATCAAATTGCTACTCTTCTTCTTCTCTCTCTTTTGATCCTTTTCTGTTTTTGTCCTGTACACTCTTGTCGACTCATGTCAGCAAATCTCTGAGTTAATCCTTAGTTGCTTAAACCTGGTTATTCCCCTTCAGTTTAACAAAGTAATTTGTTTCTGTTATTATTGCTACTAAATCAAATTTTAGCCAGTTTAACTGTTTAGCAGTTTTAAAATGGTACAGTCTACCAAAAGTATCATTTTAGTTTCATTTGGCCTGTCTCGGAGAAAGATAAGCCTGATTTATTAATATCAAAAATGATAAGCTTATTGTTTCTTACTGGCTGCTTAAACTTTTTTTGACTACTTTATATGGTCCATAACTGACACAGAATAAGTTGCTTTGTGGATTCTGTTTTCTTTGTAGGATTTGACATTATTGTGAAACAATGTTATGTCGTCATATTATCCTGTAGACTTTATTCATGCATTTCCTATCAGTTAATAAAAACAGAAAGATATAATAAGAATGAAATTAAAGGTTAAAATAGAGGTTTCACTCATCATTGAAAAGTGTTTAAGTGGTAATACGGAATTAAGCATCCTTTTGATCTTTAATAGCCTATATATAATTTATAGTATTATAGCACTATTAGACCATTTAAATGTGAAATAAAATACAGCAATATAAAACCAGAAGTCTCAAAAAAGAAAGTTTTACCACATAGATATTTTTCATATATTTTTATACTTCATGCACAATATTTTAAATGTAAAGTATGTGAATTATCATATCTAGACATGGCTTATATTTTCACATTTTTTTTGTGATGTAAGCCTTTTCCCACGTTGCCTATGTTCATCTTGTTTTTGAGGAAATCTTGCATTCTTTCAAATTGACAAATTATGACCATACCTCACCACTTCCCTGTTGGACACTTGTATTTTTATTTTCTTCCTTAACGAAGACTAATACTTCAGTTGTGAAGTTTCATTGCTCAGGGATCATAGGAGTGCTACCCTCTAGCAGTCTGGTGCTGGGACCTCTTCTAGTTAACAGGTTTATCAAACAACTCCTCATGCTCATTGCTGATATCAACTTTGAGTAATCTGATGATGGCAGACACAAAGACCAAGTGTCAGCTTGAGCTTCATTTTAAATTCCATTTGTTTTCCAGAGGGGATAAATTAAATTTACTTTGAAAGGCAAATCTTAATTAAAAGTAGAAATAAGATAAAAAAACTTTGTGTAGAAAAATAATTTCATTATGAGTACCAGACAAGAAAAGCTGAAAGGCACTAAGATCATTATGCATAATATGTTACAGAGGCATTTCAGATTACTTTTCCAAGTGACTGTATGGAAATTGAAAAGTAGGTAGAACAGATTAAAAAAAATTAAAATTTGCGGATTTCATTGTACCTTTTGCCTTTCTCCTCATTTTCTTCTTCTGTATCCTTCTGTTATCTTCTTCCTCCAGAATCAAATCACATTTTACATTTTTTGTCATCTTTTTCTTCTGAAACATAGTATAATTCTTTGAATATCTTTTTTCTGACAAATTTGTTACTTATATATAAACCCAAAAGTTTTTCAGTTCTTTGAAAGTACATTTCTAAATAGTGTTATGTGTGGTTCACTGAGTTTTCTTATAAGTTGCTGTGTTCAAAAGATTGTTTCCCTTTCAAATTTTATTTTTTAAGTCTTTGACTCAAATTTCAATTGAAATTTGGCTCATCAGTAAGCATAAATCAAAGTCAGTTTTAACTTTAAGATGAAACTGTGTACTTTAACAAAAACATAACTCTTTTTTTCATCCCCCACCCGTTTTTTAAAGGAATCAGCAGGCGGGGATCTTCAGTCTCCTTTAACACCAGAAAGTATCAATGGGACGGATGATGAAAGGACACCTGATGTGACACAGAACGCAGAGCCAAGGGCTGAACCAACTCAGAATGCATTGCCATTTTCACATAGGTACAGATTCAATTCAGCAATCATGATTAAGTAAAGTGCATAAATATGGAAATTTGTTTGGTTTCAGGATCTCTTGTAGTTAGAACCTTTGAGTGAAAACTCTAGGTCAGACTGTTTTTTGCAGTTTTTTTTTTTTTTTTTTTGCCCGGGGCTGGGGCTTGAACCCTGCCACCTCTGGTATATGGGGCCAGTGCCCTGCTTTGAGCCACAGGCGCCACCCTAGGTCAATTGTTTTGTTTTGTTTTTTTCACTGCTTCTATTAAACCTCAGAGAGGAAATACAGAAAAATTTTACGAATTTAAAGCTGATAGTTATCTAGATGGACAGGAGTGAATATTTCCTTTTACTGAGCTAATTATGACATAACACAAACAATTTTTCAGTGAAACAAAATACTGTAAATCGCTTTTACCTATTTTTTAACTCATCCCTTATAAAGTCCCCCTTTGTTAACCTGGTTTCTATTTTCATGTATGTTCTTAAAGATTATAAGTTGTAATTTTTAAAAATAGGTTCTACCCTTTGAAATTAAGCTTTATCATAGAGGGGATCTCACCTCACCGTATGATTTCACAGAAGGAAAACTGTGGAGTAACTTCTAGCATGAACTTGTTAATGTTAATGGCAGATTTATCTCTATACATGACTTCCAGAAGATAAATTTTCACTTGCTTCTGAATTATAAAAGAATTTCATATTCTGAAAAGATTATAGCTTATCCTGTGTTTTAAACCAGTTACATTAATTACTGGCCTATGGTGGTATTTTTAGGATGTAAGGAAGTCTCTGAAATTGCAATAATGCAAATGTAAAACAAACACCTATCAGTCATCTGTCTTAAAGTTCATTTCTTTGGGGGACCAGTTTTTTAAAAAATCAAATTCTTTGGCTTATTAAGAATTACGAAGTGAGATATTCATTCCAAACTCTTTCTCATGAGAATTTTAATTGAAATCTGTTGACTATTAGGGGCATAAGATTAAACATTATTAGAGGCTAACATTAGGGGACCTCATGGTCAGGATGAGGAAGAAGAAAAAATTGGGTAAGGTTTTTTTTTTGTTTTTTTTTGTTTTTGAATGAACAAGGAAAGACTATTTGACCATGAGGCTATTCTAATTTGTTACTTAAAAATGATATTTCTCATAAAATAGTTGACATTTTGGAGTTATGTATTTCATGCTTTATTGAAATATGAACATAATTTCTTTGTAGCTATAAAGATGACTAAATACATGAAAATTTTTAGTTCTCCCAATCTGAAGACTATATGTTCACATTGATTTGTTAAACATTCACTCTTAAAATATGCAATTACAATCAAAGAGTGATGTTATCAGAATGCAGTTTTTAGAAATACTTGACTTATATTGAGAGGAGGGTAAATTTCCTTCCTGTTAAATTATATTTAACACAGGCATTTAATAAATAGACTTAACTGCAACTGAGAATAATTATATACTTGATTTCTTCGGCTAACACTTAAATTGAGCCATTTGCATTGAATACTGTAGCATTTAGAATTAAGAATTTTTGTATTTAACATTTATAAAAGGTATTTCTAGTTAGCCACCTAAAATTTTCTAAGTGTTTATTACTATTTTGCTAATCCTTAGGATTTGGAGTTACTGCCTGGAATTGGTCTACTCCTACTGATTTTTCTGTTTTTAGGAGTCTAATACCAATTATTTTGACTTGAAGGTAGAGCTTCTTTGACTACTGGAATTTATAGATTAGCCTTGAAGATATCTGACAGAGATTTGAAAATAAAACTTAGCAGGTCAATTTAAGCTTTTAACTATGTTATAGGCATAATGACCTTAAAGTGTTCTTATTGTCATAAAAATACTAACTATGGCATTTTAGAAGACATTCTCTAAATTGTTTTGCTTTTATATTAATTGCCCTTAATCAATATTTAACTAGTTTCTTGACCAAAATCAAGATTTCCACCTGAGGCAACAGATTGTTTCACAGATTTATTTTATCAGATTTGCAAAATATCTGAATATTGCAAAGACCTCAGATGTGATAGTTTTAAATTAGCTTAGATTATTCATGGCATACTGAAAAATGAAATATAATAAAACCAAATAGAAAACATCAGAGTAAAACTCACATTAAGAGTAGAAACTGTTGGCTAGGCACCTGTAGCTCAGTGTTTAGGGAGCTGGCCACATGCTCCAGGGCTGGTGGGTTTGAACCTGGCGCAGGGCTGTTAAACAAACAAACAAAAAAGAGTAGAAACTGTTTCAGGAATATACATATATATGTATGTGCTGAATTATATTGTAAAATGTCAAAGTTTGAAAGCACATGCCCTTGGCACATGAGGTGACTAAATCCGAGAGAGTGAATTGTCCTGGGTCACGTAGTTTATCAGAAACAACTGTGAGATGACAGTTCCACTCTTTAATCCTAGTATATACTACAGTTAGTTAACAGTACACTTTAGCCAAATTCGTAGCACAAGCACATTACTGTGTCAAAAAGTTAATAACTATTTCTATCTTTGGAGACCAGGTATAAGTAAGATCAGTGGTTCAGGAATTAGAAACAGAATAAATATTAAATTAAATTGTATTTAAATTTGACACAGTAAACATACATATATATATATATATATCCTTTTTTCCAGTGACAAAGGAACACAATTAAAATCTTACGTTTTTAAGGCCTATTTAGACCATTTATTTTGCCTGCCTTCTTCAACACATTTAAAGAAAAAAGACCAAAACAATTTTTGCCAGCATTTCCTTGTTCTGGTTGATCCCATTTTGTTGTAAAGAAGGAACAAAATCAGTAGAATACATTTTTAAAAAAAAAAGATGGGGGATATAGGGAATTCTGAGGTAGGCAGTCAAGTTAATTAAGAGTTGACTATAGTAATAGCTATGTAGCAAGTCATTTGTATTCTTAAAATTCAAATTTTATGCCTAAATCTCATGAATTTGTTAATAAACATGCCAAGAGCAGATCCTGATTTTCATTTAGCTTTGAAAAGTTTAGTAATGTTCTGTATTCTTTGTAAGTCTTGTTTATTTTTAAAAAGTTATTACTCAGCTTTAAAAAAATAAGATTTTTATTACTTTTCATTTTTAATAAAACCTTTTATTATAAAATTTTTCCAGTATATTTGAGAGAGAATACTATATTGAGCCCCTGTGAACATATTACCCAGCATCAACAGTTCAGCAGTTAGGAAGAAAAAATAGCCAGTCTTGTTTCATCTCTACCCTCACTTATTCCTACTGCTATATTATTTTTAAAACAAATCCCAGACACAGTTTTATCCATGAATACTTTTTAAATTACTTTGAACTTTTCAAAAACTTATTTACTAAGTTATTATGGCTTTTTATATTACATATGATTCAGTGTGCTATAGGTTATCTTGAATTATTTACTACTTTCTTTGATTTTTAATTATGCTGCTAAATTAAATCTTAAATGTAGGGGCTGCTAATACTCCTTAATCAAGTGCTATAGTACTGTTTTATGTCCTTGCCAGAAACTATGCAAAAACATTCTCACTGAGTAAGTTTCAGTGAATTAATCCTTTTTTAGCATACTTATTTAAATGCTTTAAAAAGTTGCGTATATAAAAAGGCTGATCATGAGGGTGAAATGCTTGCTCATTTCTTTGGGGGAAATGTTATTAAATTTTATCTAAATTGCTTATTTCTAAAAAGATTACTTTTTAAATCTAAATGATAACATCATGCTAAAATTGAGCCAAGTATATACTCTGACTTGCTGAAGTCTTCAGGGCATCCTTTAAGACCACAGTTCGTTAGCTATACACCAAGCAGAGTAGCTGTATATTGACAGATCAGCATATGCATATGGGAGAGGGTTTTGTTCTCTCATTTCAGGAAATGTTTGCTTCACAGCATTAGCTGTGTGGAATTCTAGAATTTTACTTGTTACTTCTTACAAATGATAGATAATAGGGTTTTTAAAGATTTAAAACCACCTAAAATTCTCTTGGAAATAGTAACTTTTATAGTATTCCTGTGCTGTTGGAATATAGTAATGAAATGTAATACTGGAAACTAAAAGTTTTCATTTGTTATAATTTTATGATTCTCATATACAGTAAGTACTATATTGATAAGTAGCTGTGATCATAATTTTGAGAGTTCAGAACAGACATACAAACATTAGCAGTTCATGAAGCTATTTTTGTACTTAAATTTTAATAGCAGTGTGATTAGCTTAAAGGAAAATAGACCCTTAAGCACTGAGTATATTTAGATTCTTCTAATATTTGGATACTGTATTCTCATGGTGCTTCTAGAAATTATGCATTCTGGGGATACTGCATGTGTCTTCTGTTAAAGAGATTTCTCTGCCATTTCATGTGTTTCAAATAGATATTCATTACAGCTTGTATGCAGAAATGTTACTTTCTAGTTATTGGTTTTGCTTTAAATGGGTATAACTACAATTTTACCAAAACTTATGACATCTGTGTGGGTTCACTTTGTTTGTATTTATTAAACTTTCATTCATTATCAAAGTTTCAGAAAGCCTGTACTTTAAAACTGTAAGGATTTCATACCATTTCAAAAACTAAATTTCTTTGGAAATTTTACATACCATTTTAACTCAAATACAGAAACACCAAAATAAATACAAAATATTCATACTTAACAAAAATCAGTTAAAATACAGAAAAGTGTTTTATTAAATATAGTTTATACTTACTATACATGATACAAATAGGAAAACAGTGAATGGCTGGTTAAGAACCCGCATGTGTTTACTCTCCACAGTGTGGCATCTGTTTCTTTTTTATGGGTAGTAAACAAAACTTAGATTATAGTAATCAACTAAAGTAGAAGTATTCTCTGTGGATAACTTTTTTTTGGATAACACTGTATGTGTAAATTTGGTACTTGATTTTATTAGAAATGACTTTATCATTGATATAATTGCAGGTGAAAAATTTAAGTTAGAGGATTCACCTTATTGCTACAGTCATAATTGACTCAAAT